GTGTTTCCCTGGGTTTTTTTTTTTTTTTTTTTTTTTTGGTTTATTCTTTATTAAGGCTGTACTTGACCCGGTGGTTTCAGAAATAGCTGGGAGAAGGCTTCCCAGAAGAGCTGAAGAAACCTGAAGATGATCCAGACTGTTACAATGTTTCCTCTCAAATTTCAGAGCAAAGTTGACAGGCTGGATGGTCTTGCTCTCTTAAAAGACTAGTGAAAATAGAAACAGTAGTGCTTAGGATGGTAGGGGAACTGCACCCAGGAAGCTTTCCTTCTAGATCCCCTTGCCCACCCCCTCTGTCACTATGTTACCAAAAAATTAAGGGGAGGGGGGAGAATCAAGGCTATAATAATACACATATATATAGGGCTTTCTGTGTCCCGCTATTGTTTCAGACTATATTTAGGGCCAGCCGGGTGGCATGATGATTAAGTGGCTGACTCTTCCATGACCGACACTGTGGTTTACGACCCAGTGGCTCGTCAGACACGCCAGGTGCACGTGCATGTTTACCCAAAATCCTGAGAGAAGAACAGAGGAGAAGGGATTGCTGTGTGGGGAGTGATTTCTCACTTTCCCTTTATCTCTGTTTCTCTCTGTCTCTTTTTCTTTCACTTCTGCAAGGACACACATCCTAGAGCAAATTAAAATGATCAGTCCTCAAAACAACCGTGTGAGGTAGATACTGTCACCGTGTCTGTTTTATAGATGGGGGAATGGAGACATAGACTTAATAAACTCGGCTCAGGTAACTATCACCAGATGTATGACTTTAATCATGTGTTGTGGTTTGTGATGTACTAGTGTTTATTCTTTTTCATTTGATGTTGTCTTTCTTTTTTCTTTAATTGCCAGAAAAAAAGGTTGGCCATGTGGAATCAGTCGCCTTTCTTTAAGCACCCTCCAATGGGACATGGTAATGCCAAAGTCCTTTTCCTGTTTCTCTATTCTGTCAGGATTTGGGGCATGCAGGTATATGTGCCTGATGTGTTTTTTAAGCCACCAGGCCAGGCTTCAGCCACATGGGTTCTAGCTCCCAGTGCTCTGCGCTTAACCACTGTGTTACAGGCCAGCCCTGGATACTCCATCCTGTACAGTAGTGGCACTCAGTCTGCCAGGGTCACCATAGCTAGTAAATGGCTTCAAACGAGTTGGAAAGCAGTTCAAATGTGCCGTTTGTTTGTCTGTTTGTTTGTTTTCTTGTCTAAACATTACCTGAAATGCGTACCATTTTTGATTTAGTTTATCTTTTAGTTAGTCTGTTAAAGTTAGCCCCATGAAATGGCCAGCAGTTGGCCATTAGATCTCACTTGATCAATGGTGCAGTTTGAGTCCTGGACCTGGTGGCTGAAAAAACACCCTGGGTGTATATATGTGCATGCCCAAAACCCCAAAAGGAGAGTAAAGGAGGAGCCATTGCATCGTGGCTGTCCCCCCAGAGGGTGTTTTCTCACTCTCCTTCTCTGTGTGTGCGCGTGTGTGTGTGTGTGTGTGGCAAGTCCACATGCCTTACAGCAAATGAGAAAAAAAATTCTCAATAATCTGCATTGAGGCCAGCAGGTGGTGTGGTGGTTTAGGCACTAGATTCCCACATGGCTGACTTGGAAGCATGCCAAAATCCCAAGAGACTGGAAGAGAAGGGATTGTGGCATGGCCATCGTCCCTGGGAGGTGATTTCTCACTTTCCCTCTCACTCTGGTGCACACAAACACCCTATAGTAAAAACTTAAAAAAAAAAAGGCGAGAGAGATTAGGAGGAATGCAGAAAATTAGCAGAAGTTACATTGCTTAGCTTAACAAGCAGTATGGCTGTGCTGCCTCTGCTGCTCTGTTCTCGGAGCCCTGAGGTGTCACATCTGCTGACTTCAGGTCCCTGCCACGTGTGTCTACTAAACACTTGAGATTGGCCAGTTTGCCTGAGGAACTGTTCTGTGTTTTTGTTTTGTTTTTAAGTTTTATGCTGTAGGGCATGTGTGCTCATCAGAGAGAGAGAGAAAGTGAGAAATCCCCTCTCAGAGGGATGGCCACTCCGCCGTCCCATCTCCTCCATTCTCCTCTGGGGATTTAGGGCATGCACACACCGGCACTCAGCTTGTTTTCAAGCCACCAGGTCTAGGACTTGAACTGCAAAGTTGGCCATGTGGAATCCAGTCACCTTAACCACCACACCACCTGCTGGCCTAAGGAGCTGAATTTTTTATTTTAGTTAACCAGTTTAAATTTAAATAGCCACATCTGGCTGATAGCCACCATTTTGGACAATACACATCTGAGCTGCAGGATCCTTCCTAGAGTCAGGGCTTTTGAGTTTCAGATGAGGTTTGAATCAGTTTCACATTGTACATGTCCAGCACTAAGGTCCAGTTCTGAGCTGCCTGTGGAATGCTAGTTACTTTTTTGTTAGTCTTTTTCTAATGATAGATGAGTGTTAGATGTCGATATTGCTATCACCCAAAATAAGTCAAGCTGCTTCTTGGGGGCAGGGAAACTAGAGGCAGAGCCTGGAGAAGAGGGAAGGTCTTTCTGTAACCAGTTACAAGCAGATAGCAAGTACCATCAAGTTGTCTTAAAAAGCTCAACGTGTGGGAACCAGCAGTTAGCATAATGGCTATGTTGCTGGACTCCCACGTAGTCGACTGCAGTTCGCGTCCTGGACCCAGTGACTTAAAACTCATGGCGGGCGCATGTGCGTGCGTGCCCAAGATCCCGAGAGGAAAACGGAGGAGAAGGGATTGCGGCGTGACCATTCCCCCTGGGGGGTGATTTCTCGCTTTCTGGCTCTCTCTCTCTCTGGTGAGCGCACGCGCCCTATAGCGAAAACCTCTCAAAAAAAAAAAAAAAAAAAAATCAACGGGTTTTTGGTGTTTAGTGGCATGATGATTAAGTGGCTGACTCTTCCATGACCGACACTGTGGTTTACGACCCAGTGGCTCGTCAGACACGCCAGGTGCACGTGCATGTTTACCCAAAATCCTGAGAGAAGAACAGAGGAGAAGGGATTGCTGTGTGGGGAGTGATTTCTCACTTTCCCTTTATCTCTGTTTCTCTCTGTCTCTTTTTCTTTCACTTCTGCAAGGACACACATCCTAGAGCAAATTAAAATGATCAGTCCTCAAAACAACCGTGTGAGGTAGATACTGTCACCGTGTCTGTTTTATAGATGGGGGAATGGAGACATAGACTTAATAAACTCGGCTCAGGTAACTATCACCAGATGTATGACTTTAATCATGTGTTGTGGTTTGTGATGTACTAGTGTTTATTCTTTTTCATTTGATGTTGTCTTTCTTTTTTCTTTAATTGCCAGAAAAAAAGGTTGGCCATGTGGAATCAGTCGCCTTTCTTTAAGCACCCTCCAATGGGACATGGTAATGCCAAAGTCCTTTTCCTGTTTCTCTATTCTGTCAGGATTTGGGGCATGCAGGTATATGTGCCTGATGTGTTTTTTAAGCCACCAGGCCAGGCTTCAGCCACATGGGTTCTAGCTCCCAGTGCTCTGCGCTTAACCACTGTGTTACAGGCCAGCCCTGGATACTCCATCCTGTACAGTAGTGGCACTCAGTCTGCCAGGGTCACCATAGCTAGTAAATGGCTTCAAACGAGTTGGAAAGCAGTTCAAATGTGCCGTTTGTTTGTCTGTTTGTTTGTTTTCTTGTCTAAACATTACCTGAAATGCGTACCATTTTTGATTTAGTTTATCTTTTAGTTAGTATGTTAAAGTTAGCCCCATGAAATGGCCAGCAGTTGGCCATTAGATCTCACTTGATCAATGGTGCAGTTTGAGTCCTGGACCTGGTGGCTGAAAAAACACCCTGGGTGTATATATGTGCATGCCCAAAACCCCAAAAGGAGAGTAAAGGAGGAGCCATTGCATCGTGGCTGTCCCCCCAGAGGGTGTTTTCTCACTCTCCTTCTCTGTGTGTGCGCGTGTGTGTGTGTGTGTGTGGCAAGTCCACATGTCTTACAGCAAATGAGAAAAAAAATTCTCAATAATCTGCATTGAGGCCAGCAGGTGGTGTGGTGGTTTAGGCACTAGATTCCCACATGGCTGACTTGGAAGCATGCCAAAATCCCAAGAGACTGGAAGAGAAGGGATTGTGGCATGGCCATCGTCCCTGGGAGGTGATTTCTCACTTTCCCTCTCACTCTGGTGCACACAAACACCCTATAGTAAAAACTTAAAAAAAAAAAAAAAAAAGGCGAGAGAGATTAGGAGGAATGCAGAAAATTAGCAGAAGTTACATTGCTTAGAGGGACAAGCAGTATGGCTGTGCTGCCTCTGCTGCTCTGTTCTCGGAGCCCTGAGGTGTCACATCTGCTGACTTCAGGTCCCTGCCACGTGTGTCTACTAAACACTTGAGATTGGCCAGTTTGCCTGAGGAACTGTTCTGTGTTTTTGTTTTGTTTTTAAGTTTTATGCTGTAGGGCATGTGTGCTCATCAGAGAGAGAGAGAAAGTGAGAAATCCCCTCTCAGAGGGATGGCCACTCCGCCGTCCCATCTCCTCCATTCTCCTCTGGGGATTTAGGGCATGCACACACCGGCACTCAGCTTGTTTTCAAGCCACCAGGTCTAGGACTTGAACTGCAAAGTTGGCCATGTGGAATCCAGTCACCTTAACCACCACACCACCTGCTGGCCTAAGGAGCTGAATTTTTTATTTTAGTTAACCAGTTTAAATTTAAATAGCCACATCTGGCTGATAGCCACCATTTTGGACAATACACATCTGAGCTGCAGGATCCTTCCTAGAGTCAGGGCTTTTGAGTTTCAGATGAGGTTTGACTCAGTTTCACATTGTACATGTCCAGCACTAAGGTCCAGTTCTGAGCTGCCTGTGGAATGCTAGTTACTTTTTTGTTAGTCTTTTTCTAATGATAGATGAGTGTTAGATGTCGATATTGCTATCACCCAAAATAAGTCAAGCTGCTTCTTGGGGGCAGGGAAACTAGAGGCAGAGCCTGGAGAAGAGGGAAGGTCTTTCTGTAACCAGTTACAAGCAGATAGCAAGTACCATCAAGTTGTCTTAAAAAGCTCAACGTGTGGGAACCAGCAGTTAGCATAATGGCTATGTCGCTGGACTCCCACGTAGTCGACTGCAGTTCGCGTCCTGGACCCAGTGACTTAAAACTCATGGCGGGCGCATGTGCGTGCGTGCCCAAGATCCCGAGAGGAAAACGGAGGAGAAGGGATTGCGGCGTGACCATTCCCCCTGGGGGGTGATTTCTCGCTTTCTGGCTCTCTCTCTCTCTGGTCCCACCCCCCATATAGGAAAACCCCCAAAAAAAAAAAAAAAAAAAACTCAACGTGTTCTTGGTGTTTATAGGTACAAGATACAAGCACGTGCAAATCATTCCTAAGTAAAATCAGTCTATTGCTTTCTCCTAAATAATTATCCTGATACTTTCAAATACCTATTCCTGGTTTCTCATCTGACCATTTTGCAAACCGATCTCCCTATGACTTAGCATTTGGTCAGATTGTTCTCTTTTTTTGAATTTTAACCATAGGGCACGTGTGCTCACTGGAGAGAGACAGACACAGTGAGAGGGAAAGTGAGAAATCACCGCCCACAGGGGGTGAAAGAAAGAGAAAGTGAAAAAGTAAGCCACCTGGTCCAGGACTCAAACCATGGTCATCCATGTGGGAGTCCAGCACCTCGACCACCATGTCACCTGTTTGCCTCAATTCATATGCTTTTCTACTTTCTTTTTAAATTGTGGTAGTGTATTGATGACTGGTTAGACCCATTTCTAGATTGTTCTTTATAGGGGCCTTTTTAAAAAAACAATATTTATTGTTATTATTTTAAATTTTGCTATAGAGCATATGTACTCACCAGAAAGAGAAAGAAAATGTGAGGGACCAGCAGTCAGTGTAATGGCTATGTCGCTGGACTCCCATGTAGTTGACCACGGTTCGAGTCTAGGACCCGGTGGCTTAAACTCACGCCAGACGCGTGCACATGCATACTTAAGATCCTGAGAGGAGAATGGAGGAGAAGGGATTGCGGCGTGGCCATCCCCCTCTGGGGGGTGATTTCTTGCTTTCTGTCTATCTCTGTCTTTCTGGCGAGTGCATGTGCCCTATAGCAAAAACCTCTCTAAAAAAGAAAGAAAGGAAGGAAGGAAGGAAGGAAGGAAGGAAAGCTCCCAGTCCAGGACTCTGACCACTCTTGGCCATGTGAGAGTCCAGCACCTTAACCACCACACCACCTGCTGGTCCCTAGAGGCCTTTCTTCATTTGAAAATGGCTGCAGTTCTTAAGCTGGCCTGCTACGCTGTTTATTTTCTCATTAGCGTCTCCTAGAATTGCTTTCAGTTGAATTTGCCGTACATAATTTGTTGGCAAAACCTCTTACAGATGTCTTAATTTTGATTCTTCTAAGTGGATTCATCTGGGTCCAATGTAAAGCCGCCACACTTTGGTCACTTACAGCCCAGACACTTAGGAGTAAGTAATAAAACAAAGTTCTCCTCTCTTGGAGTATGCACTCTAGAGGGGAAGAGGCTATTTAGTATGCAGATGTCTGTGGTGATAAGTGCTTGAAATAAAACTAGGCTCAGGAAATAGCCACACAGGGGGTGTTTGAGGTCGAAGTCAGAGAAGAACTCTCTGAGATGGCATCTCAGCCCAGGACCAGATCATGGGAGGCAGTGAGCCAAGCAAAGGTATGGGGCAGAAGGAACAGACCACTTCAGGATTACATTGTTTTAGATATTGGACTTTATTTAGAGTATAACTTACAAAGTCTCACTTGAAAGTCTCTTCCTGTCCCTCCCTGCCATCTGTGTACTTTTAGCTTGGTTGCCTCCAATTTTAAGAACTGGGAGGTAGGCCAGCCCTGTAGCACATAGGGGTTAGGAGAACCAGATCCCACATGGCTGTCTGCAGTTTGAATCCCTGCCCTAGTGTCTTGAAAAACATGCTGGGAGCTTGCGTGTGTGTGCGCATAATGGTGACTGGGGTTGGGGGGAATGGAAGGAATGGGATTACAGTGTGACCATACCTCGTTGGGTGGTGGGAGGGCATGTGCTGTCTCTGACTACATGTGCTCTCTAGCAGTAGGCAATGAAAGAACTGGGTGCCAGCCCCTGCTGTGGTTAAACCACCTGAATCACACATGGCCAACCTCATGGTTCAAGCCTTGTACCTGGCAGTATGAAAAACACACCAGGTGTGTGTCCTTGCTCAGAGTCCTGAAAGAAGGGAGAGATGGAGAAAAAGGGATTGCAGCATGACCATCTCCGTAAGGGAAGCTTTCTCACTTTCTCTCTCTCGTGTGTGCACGCATCTGGAAAAATTAAAATTAAAAACAAACAAAAAAATGAATTGGGAGTTAACATGAATCTACATAAATGTTAACCTAATCAAAATTTTTTCTCAGGTCCTTTTAACTCAAATCATTGTGAAACTGAGATGATTTGGTTTGATTTTGCCTATTCTACAGACATTGGGTTTGCCCATCACAGATGAACAAATCCAGGAGATGAGATCCAACCTGGACAACATCGACTTCAAGATGGCAGCTGAGGAGGAGAAACGATTACGACATGACGTGATGGCGCACGTGCACACATTCGGCCACTGCTGTCCAAAGGCTGCAGGCATCATTCATCTTGGTGCCACCTCCTGCTACGTTGGAGACAACACAGTAGGCGCCGTGTTGGGTACAGTTGTAACGCGTGGGTCCAGTTTTAGGAAGTGACTCCATAGATCTTTATTTTTAGGGAGGTGGTGGCTGACAGTGCAAAGGAACTTTCTACTTACGGTACTGTTCCATCTAAACCAGGCGTATCTAGTGACCTCCATAAAATAAGACCTGCAGGTACTGCTTGTGCAGACTTAAACCAGGGCCTATGGCTGAGATAATTTTCCAAAGGGCTTCTCTTACCAAAATCCTTTATAACTCTTTGTTATGGCCTCTAAAAAAATTTTTAAAGTATTGCATTAAAATTGTTAAGTAAAACCTGTTAGCAAAAGTATCATGTAGTCAAATGTGGAAAAGTAACAGCAGATATTTTCCTGTGAGCTTGCTAGGTGGCAGGCACTGTTCTGAGTGCTTTATTGGTATTTAAAGTAGTAAGTAGGGGCCAGCAGGTGGCATGGTGACTGGGGTGCTGGACTCCCACAGGGGCAGCCACAGTTTGAGTCCCAGATCTGGCTGCTTGCTGGTCAAATTAAAAAAGTAATAATATCTCTCGCTGGTCAAATTTAAAAAGTAATAATAATCATCTCTCACTGGTCAAATTTAAAAAGTAATAATAGTAACAATTGGAATTAAATAACTTTTTTTAAAGTAAGGAGTATTTTTCACAGCAGCTTAAGAGACAGGTACTATTATCTGCATTTTAAACAGCTTCATTGAATTTAAAAAAAGCTCAAGTGTTAATAAACTTACCTATTTTAAGTCCAGTTGGGTAAGTTCCACCTTCTCCAGACATCAGTTTTAGAGTCTACCTCTCATCCCAGCTTTTTTCATGCCTGTGTGCAGTTAGTCTCCACTCCTGCCTCCAGACTCAAGACATCCATCAGCTTCCTTTTCTGTCTCTAATTTTATTTTTTCTAGAGATTCCATATAAATGGAATCATAGAATATATGGTCTTTTGTGGGCTGGCTTGCTTTTCTACAGATGATGAAAGTTAAAGAGATGGACAGCCCAAGACTTCTCAGCTAGAAAAGAGTCAAATCTAGATAGAGTGACTCTAAAGCTTTTGCTATTGGGGCTGGCAGGTGGCATGGTGGTTAAGGGTGCTAGACTCCCACATGGCAAACTGTGGTTCGAATTCTGGGCTTGGCAGCTTGATTGCCTTTTTTTTTTTTTGGAGAGGTTTTTGTTATGGGGTACATGCCCTCGCCAGAAAGACAGAGAGACAGAAAGGGAGAAATCCCCAAGGGGGATGGCCACAACACAGTTCCTTCTCCATTCTCCTCTCGGGGCCACACCCACACACACACACACACACACACACACACACACACACAGCCTGGCGTGAGTTTAAGCCACCAGGTCCGGGACTCAAACCACAGTGGACTACATGGGAGTTCAATGACGTTGCCATTGTGCCATCCGCTGGTCCTGCAGCTTGCTTTTTCACTTTTCCTGTTTCTCACTCTCTCTCTCTGTCCCTTTTTGGTCAAAAATAAGTAAATAAATAAAGTTAAATAATTATTAAAAACAAAAGAAGTTTCTCTTAATTGTAATGTTCCGGTGAGATCAGAAATTAGATTCCAGATAATCTTCCAATTCAGGAAGAAGCCAGTAATGTTTCAGTTGCCCAAAATACTTTTTTAGGTCTTTAAGTACTACATAGTTAAAGGCATCTGTGTGTAATTGGTGAGTCAGATAATGGAAGAGAAACAACTTAGGAAATTCTGCTTAAAAATATGCCCAATATGGTGCTTACTTCAGCAGCACATATACTAAAATCGGAACGATACAGAGATCAGCATGGCCCCTGCACAAGGACGACACGCAAATTTGTGAAGCGTCCCTTATTTTTATGTGTGTACACACACACATATACATACGTACATACATACATATACCCAGTGTGTTGGGGTTGCCTGAAATACATGTCTTGCCTCCCTCGAGAGCAGCTTTGAGTTTCCTAAACCTTGACATTTTGGATCATGCCTTTCCCTGTTAATAGCTGTAGTCCAGAAAAAGGGGGAGGAAAGTGGAGTGTGTCATACAGAAACTTCTCAGGACTCAGACACTCCTTTGAGAAGATGATGAACATTGAGTTGTGTGGTTTTCAGTCATTTTAGGTTTTGTTTCCGTGGATCCTAATTTGATCAGAGAGAGTCAGAAAGAGAGGGAAAGTGAGAAAGCAAGTCACCAGGTCCAGGACTCGAACCACAGTTGGCCATGTGGGAGTCTTGCACCTCTAACCACCACTCCACCTGCTGGCCCCTTGTTTTGCTTTTTAACTTTTTTGTTCATCAGAAGCCCTGTAACAAGAATCACTGTTAGGGGGAGACCAGCAGTTAGCGTAATGGCTATGTTGATGGACTCACCGTGGTTCAAGTCCCGGACCCAGTGGCTTAAACTCACGCCGGGCGCGTGCGCGTGCGTGCCCAAGATCCCGAGAGGAGAATGGAGGAGGGATTGCAGCGTGGCCACCCCCCCTGGGGGGTGATTTCTTGCTTTCTGTCTCTCTGTCTCTGTCTGTCTGTCTGGCAAGCGCACGCGCCCTATAGCAGAAACCTCTCCCAAAATAAAAAGAATCACTGTTGGGGGGCTGGCAGATGGCATGGTAAAGGCACTGGACTCTCACATGATCAACCACAGTTTGGGTCTCAAACCTGGTGCTTTGCTTTCTCATTTTCCCTTTCTCTTTCTCTCTGGTCAAATTAAAAAGCAATAATAATAATAATAGGGGCTAGCCCGCAGATGGCATAGCAGTTATGTCCCTGGACTCCCACATGGCTGACCATGGGTTCAAGTCCCAGACTCCCCGTGGCTTCAAAATCATGCCGGGCACATGCACATGTGTGCCCAAGATCCCCAGAGGAGAATGGAGGAGAAGGGATTGCAGTGTGGCCTTCCCCCCTGTGGGTGGTCTCAATTTTCACCCTCACTGTCTCTGTTTCTTTCTCTTAGGTGAGCACGTGCTCCTTAAGGCAAAAACCTATAAAAATAATAACAACCAATGGAATAAATCTTTTTTTTTCTTTAAGAATTATTTTGTTTGTTTGTTTATTTTAATTTGACCAGAAAGGGACAGAGGGAGTGGGAAAGTGAGAAGGCAAGCTGCCGGGTCTGGGTCTCAAACTGCAGTTGGCCACATGGTAGGTAGTCCAGCTCCTTTAACCACCACAACTCCTGCGGGCCCCTGAAATTAAATAAATCTTAAAAAAATAAAATCCAGTGTCAGAAACCCAGCATCTAAACCTCCTCCAAAGTTTTGCTCTCATTGAAGTAATGATGATGATGAATTGTTCTCTCCTGTTTTTTCTCACCCCGGAATAGTAGCTATAACTCTTTCTAAGAACTTAGGAGCTCGGAAAGGGATGTTAGTGGAAACTTCTACACTTTGACTATCAATACACTCTTGGTACGTTGGTGTGGTTTTTAAATAGTAGTCAGAAAAGGTACCATCTTCTGCCTTTCCCAGTGCTGTTGATGGAGAGATAGGCTGCTAGCTGAGAACCCAGCTGCCATGGCCGGAAAGTGTTCAGTAATGATATTGTTTGGGCAAAGCTGTTTTAAGGCCTTTGCATTTTTCTTCGCAGGATCTGATTATTCTTAGAAATGCATTTGACCTGCTTTTGCCAAAGGTAAGGAGTTCACAGAAGTTTCCTGCCATCCCTAGACTTCTGTGATAGGAGATAGGTGCCAGTCAAATCAACCCGTTGTATATCTGCATGGATTATCGTTTTCTCAGGTGAATGATCATGTACCTAGTCCATAGAATTTATTCTCTTTTTTAGATTAAAATGTTATAAGTGAACGTTTTTAGAGCCTTTTACTTTAAAGTACAGCCAGAAGCAAGTTGTTAGACTACGTAGTCTGGGGTTATGATTTTCTCTTTTACTGCAGTGGTTTAGAATAGTCCATGACTTTTTAGGTAGTCAGCTCAGTTTTCAACTCTTGATTGCTATGATCTCAACAGGGCACTGTAGGATTCAGAGATGGAAAGATATGACTGCTGCCTTCCATGAGTTAGAGGTCTAGTTTTATATAAAATTGCCTAAAAGTTTAGTTCCCGATTATGTAATACACTCAGCCTGAATTCATCCTCATTTTAACACATGGTGTTTTTCTTGTAGCTTGCTAGAGTGATCTCTCGGCTTGCCGACTTTGCTAAGGAGCGAGCTGACCTGCCCACCTTGGGTTTCACACATTTTCAGTAAGTGATGAGGTTGCTTCCTGGGAGTTGGACTTTTACATGCATACGGCTGTCAGCGACTCCTTCAGTTCTCCCTTTTCCACAGTGACCTTGAGGTGAAAACTCTCAACCAGATAATTAGGGATGATTATGAGAATTGAGCACAGTAAACACCTTAAAATTTTCACTGGTGTGGGCCCGCAGGTGGTGTGGTGGTTAAGGTGGCTGGATTCCCACATTGCCAACCATGGTTCACCATGCGTGCCCCAAATCCCAAGAGGAAAATAGAGAGAGAAGGGATTGCGACATAGTCGTCTACCCGGGGGAGGGGGCAGTTTCTCACTTTCCCTCTCTGTCTCTCTCCAGCAAGCACTCACACCTTGTGGCAAAAACCTTTTTTAAAAAAATGCTAATAAGACAAATGAACAGTTATTGGCCACAATGCAAGTATTGATTATTCTGGTGTATAAGATGATAGAGTAATTAAATTTTTTCTACTTTTTGTATTTTTGACTATTAAAATGTGCAAGTTTCAGGGCTGGTAGGTGGCATGGTGGTTAACATAGCTGGACTCCCACGTGGCTGACCACAGTTCAAGTCCTGGACCTGGTGGCTTGCTTTCTCACTCTCTTTCCGTCTCTCTGTCTCTCTCTGGTAAACTTCAAAAAAAAAAAATGACAATAAATAAATTTTTGTAATTGTGGACATTTTTAAAATTATTATTCAATAAGGGAACCAGCAGTTAGTGTAATGGCTATGTCACTGGACTCCCACGTAGTCGACCGCGGTTCGCGTCCCGGACCCGGTGGCTTAAATCTCACACCGGGCACGTGTGCGTGCGTGCCCAAGATCCCGAGAGGAGAATGGAGGAGAAGGGATTGCGGCGTGACCATTCCCCCTGGGGGGTGATTTCTCGCTTTCTGTCTCTATGTCTCTGTCTGTCTGGCGAGCGCACGTGCCCTATAGCGAAAACCTCTCAAAAAAAAAAAATTATTATTGAATAAAGCCTTTTATTTTTAAGAGAGATCTTTTTTTGCTGTAGGGTGTGTGTGCTTGTCAGAGAGACAGAAAGCAAGAAATCATCCCCAGGTGGCAGGTGTATGGTCACACTGTGATCCCTTCTCCTCCATTCTTTTCTTGAGATCTTGGGCATGCATGCACATGTGCCCGGCATGTGTTTAAGCAACTGAGTCCAGGACTCAGACTGGTCAACTATGTGGGAGTCCAGCATCATAGCCAGTATGTCATAGTAGGATAATGGGACTTAGCAAGAAGGGAAACTACACAAGATTAATTTGGGGATATACTGTAGCTTGTGATGAACCTACTGTAGGCATTCCTAGAGGTATACCTTGGTGTTGCTAGCTGGGACGTGATGGCTAGATTATCTACTAGAACATGGATAGTTGTTTTTTTGGGTTTTTTTTAAGGTTTTTGGTGTAGGGCATGTATATTTGTTAGAAAGAGATAGCGAGACGAAAAGTGAAAAATCACCCCGCCCTCCGAGGGGGGTGGCCACGCTGCATTTCCCTCTCCATTCTCCTCTTGGGATTTGGGGCACTGGTGTGATTTTCAAACTTCTGGATTTGGGACTCAAACTGTGGTTGGCCAAGTGAGAATCCAGTACCTTAACTATCATGCCACCTGCTGGCCCCAAATTTGGAAAATTTTGCAGTTTATTCGTAATCATGTTTTATGTTCAGAAGTAGATCTTCAGTGGGTTAACTCAGACCTCAGACTGAAAGCCAGGCCGTTAGCTGCATGTTCTTTGTTTTCTGCAGCAGGACTAGCTCCTATTCAGTTCTTGGCTCCTTCTAACGGCCTTCCTTTTCTGCCAGTGTAGGGTGGCATTTTCTAGTGTCCTCGTTGCTGTTTTAGTTTTCTAGCACTTAAAATAGCAACAATTGAGGCCAACAGGTAGCACTGTGGTTAAGGTGCTGGACTCCCATGTGGTTGACTGTGGTTCAAGTCACAGATCTGGCGGCTTGAAACTTATGCCAGGCACATGTGCGTGCATGCCCAAAATTGCAAGAAGAGAATAAAGGAGAAGGGATTGAGATATGGCCATCCCTCCCAGGGTGGTCAGTTCTCACTTTTTGTCTTTCTGGTGAGCGCATGCACCCTATAACAAAGATCTTAAAAATAAATAAATAAATAAGTTAATTAGCAGGCCAGAAGGTGGCATCATGGTTAGGTGCTGGATTCTACACGGTGGACTTCACACTTCAAGTCACACACCTGCTGACTTGAGAAACACTCTAGGTGCATGTGCGTGCATGCCCAAAATCTCAAGAAAAGAAGCGATTGCGTCATGGCCATCCCACCTGAGGAGTATTTTCTCACTTTCCATTTCTCTGTCTGTCTGTCTCTCTGGCAAGCACATACATCCTACTGCAAAACTTTAAAAAAGAAAAAAACAAAGCTTGTTTGTTTTGCTTACTTGTTTACATTGAGAAGTAAGCTCCATTGGACAGGGACCTTTTTTGTTTGCTGTTGTATTTCCAAACACATCAGATATTTGGTTAATGTTTGTTACGTGAGTGTCTAATGTATTTCTTGTCAGAATTTAGAGGTATAGCCCTAAACATGGCAGACATTTTTCCTGCCTTTTTGTTAAATTGCCTCTTGATAAAGAAAGAACTGTGCTAGTAGCCCTTTAATTTTGTAATTTTTGAATATTTATAAATGACATTGAATCTTTTAACTATTTATTCATTTTTCTTTTTCTTTTTTTTAAGGTTTTTACCATAGGGTGTATGTGCTTGCCAGAGAGAATCAGGGAAAGGGAAGCTGGGAAATCACCCCACTCGGGAAGATGGCCGTACTGCAGTCCCTTCTCTTCCAGTCCCTTCTCGGGATTCTGGGCTTACATGCGCATGCACCTGGCGTGAGTTCAAGTTGCAGAATCTAGGACTAACCATAGTCAGCCAGTGCCTAAACTACCTCACCACCTTCTGGCCCCAGCTTTTGTTTTTAGTAATTTCTCCAGTGTTGTTTTTTGTTGTAGTTTGTTTTGTTTTGTTTCGTTTTTGCCAGTGGATGCATGAACTTCCTGAAGAGAAATGGGGACAGGAAGGGGGTAAGAAAGGTGGATGGTCACACCTCAATTCCCTTTCCATTTCTCCCTCCTTTTGGGACTTTGGGCACATACATATATGCACCTGGTGTGTTTTTCAGGCTGCCAGGTCCAGGACTCAAATCTTACAGTCAGCCATGTGGTATACAGCCACCTTAACCACCATGCAACCAGCTGCCTCCCAACTCAATCGCTTTCTCCTAAGGGTTGGTCATTAGGAAAAGCAGTGAAGTTTTTATGAAATGAGGCCTTGGTATGAGACTTCTCTGTATTCTCTTTGGGTTGTTTTCAGGCCTGCTCAGCTTACTACAGTTGGGAAACGCTGCTGTCTCTGGATTCAGGATCTTTGCATGGATCTCCAGAACCTGAAGCGCGTTCGAGATGACCTGCGCTTCCGGGGAGTGAAGGGCACCACTGGCACTCAGGCCAGCTTCCTGCAGCTCTTCGAGGGAGATGACCAAAAGGTACTATGAAAGTTTCACTCATTGGTGGGAGCCCAAGAGATAAGTAAGCTGACCTCCAGGATGGTAGGAGAGATTAGTCCCAGGATAGGCAGGCAGAGTCTTTGGATTGGAAGGAGTTTGGAGGACAGTGACCTGGGCAGGATGACAGGTTGAGATGCTCTTATGCTGGACACCTGGATTTCTATGGGGATGTGTCTTTCCTGTTCCAGGTAGAGCAGCTTGACAAGATGGTGACAGAGAAGGCTGGATTTAAGAGGTAGGTAAGTGGGGGAAGACGCTGACCTTCTTATTAAGTGGATGAAAGGCCCGTGTTCAGTATACTACTGCATTTGACCTTAAATTTTTTTTCATTTTTAAAAAAGTCTGCCAGAGGATTCATTTGCTTACCAGAAAGAGATAGACAGAGAGAGAGAAAGCATTCCCCCTACCTCCCTGCATTGGGCATGATCATGCTGCAATCCCTCCTCATCCGTTTCTCTGTCCCATTGGGATTTCGAGCACATAAATACCCAGTGTTCTTTAAGCCACCACGTCTGGGATTCAGATTGCACAGGTGACCATATGGGATCTGGCTCCTTTAAACTAGGCCACAGGAGTGGCCCAGCCTTCTCTTTATTGGCTCTTTCTTCCTTTCTTCTTAACACCCATTTCCTTCCGTCTTTAGCCTGGATTTTATTTTTCTCAGAGTCCAAAGTCTATTTTCTTATTACCCACAAGGAAAAAGGAAACTATTTCTGATTTGTTTAGAAAAACCTTGCCCATGTTGTTGCTGTTCCCATTTGTTTACTGAGGGCCTCCAAAGTGTTCTTCTCAATCTGACCGTCTCCATTGAGGGCCACGAGGCTCTGCCTTGATCCCTCTTCCCAGGCACTGGGACATGGGCACACTAGACCATGTTTGCTCCTCAAGTCAGGACTGCTTCCTGAGTGTTAGTAAAAAGGATGGAAGAAGGGTGTTCCAGGGGCCAAAAGGCGAAGCAGAGATTAAGGTGGTTGGGTCCCACATGGCTGACTGAGCAATTCGATTACTGGACCCAGCAGTTGAAAAACCTGCCAGGTGTGTATGTGTGTGCCCCAAATCCCAAGAGGAGAATGAAGAAGAACGGATTGTAGCATAGCCATTTCCCCTGGGTGGTGATTCTCACTTTGCCCCTCTCTCTCTCTCAGCACAGGGACCTATAGCAAAACAAAGAGAAAAGAGTGCTTTCCAGGAGCAGGCTCCAGCCAGGTCCTCTGGGCTCAGTGTGACTTAGTAAGATCCAGCTTTTGCACTGGACCTGATGTGTATTTGTTTGACATAGTCTCATTTGGAAATGTTGGGATTTGGAGTGGGGAGGGGGTGTTAGGTTTTTGCCATCGGGCCTGTGTCCTCTCTGGAGAGAAATAAGGAAAGGGAAAGCGAGAAATCGCCCCCCGGGGGGATGGCCACTCCCTTATCCCTTCTCCTCCATTCTCCTCCTGGGATTTTGGGCATGGACTCACATGCACCCAGTATGATTTTCACACCCCCAGTCTGGGACTTGAACCATGGTTGGCCATGAGGGAGTCCACCACCTTAACAACTATGCCACCTGCTGGGCTCCTGAAATGTTTTAACGGAAGTGTTTTTTCTGTCTTTTCTAGGGCTTTCATCATCACAGGACAGACCTACACACGAAAAGTAGATATCGAGGTGCTATCTGTGCTGGCGAGCTTGGGGGCATCCGTGCATAAGGTGAGGGTGGTAGCACTACAGGCTTAATCGGCCTCAGACTTTAAGTTAATCATGTCTCAAGAGATATCACACACCAGGTTTAACAATTGGAACTTACATATAGAGACCTTACATTCAGGTGTGTTAAAAGGGAAAGACTGGATTCACTCCAAGGACTGCAGGATGTCCATCTTCTTCAGGAGTATATAAAAATTAATTTTGGGGGCTGGCAGGTGGCATGATGGTTAAGGGTGCTAGACTCCCACATGACTGACCATGGTTTGAGTCCCGGACCTGATGGCTTGCTTTCTCACTTTCTCTCTGTCTCTCTGTCTCTTTTCTGTGTCTCTCTGTCTCTGTCCCCGTACGGTCAAATTGAAATAAATAAAGTAATCCTTTTAAAAATAATAATAATTTTGCCAGGGCCAACAGGTGGTATAGTAGTTAAGACTGGACTCCCACATGACCAGTCTTGGTTCAAGTCCCAGATCTGGCAGCTTGGAACTCATGCTGGGCACATGGGTGTCTATGCTCAAAAATCCCCAGAGGACAGTGGAGGAGAAGGAATTGGAGTGTGGCTATGCCCCCAGGAGGTGACTTCTCACTTTCTCTCTCTCTCTGTCTCTCTGGCAAGTGCACGATCCCTATAGCAAAAATCTCTCAAAAAATTAATTTTGTGGAGTCAGCAGGTAGCATGGTGGTTAAGGACGCTGGATTCCCACATGGCCGACGGCAGATCGAGTCCTGGGTCTGGCGACTTACTTTCTCACTCTCTCTCGTTCACTCACTCTGTCCCTGTCTGGTCAAGTTAAAAATAAGTAATTAATTAAAGTATTTCTTTTTTAAAAATTAATTTTGTCTTCAGTTTCCCTTGATGTCTTAATCAGGGTTTCACAAAGCATGCCCATGTCCTTGAGTTTGCATCCCAGCTCTTCAGGAGCAAAGGAGTCCAAGTAAAGGGAGCTCTGAGGGAGGACGTGCCGGTCTTCAGCCCAGCAGCACCCACCTAAAGAGCTCATCTTCATCAGTCTAGTCCTGCTTCCAGACTCTCCTGCACACTGACGGTGTGGCATGATCCCTGTTCTTCCTCAGATTTGCACTGACATTCGCCTCCTGGCAAACCTCAAGGAGATGGAGGAACCCTTTGAGAAACAGCAGATTGGTGAGTGTTTGTAGAGACCTGGGAGCACCATGGAGCTGCTGGAGGCTTGCAGGCATGTGTTGTCGGCTCACCTATTAGCATGCTTGCACAGCCCTGCACTCTAAAGTCATCTTTGCCTTTGCATTTTGTCTTTTTCCACGGGCAGGCTCAAGCGCAATGCCATACAAGCGGAACCCCATGCGCTCAGAACGTTGCTGCAGCCTTGCCCGGCACCTGATGGCCCTCATCATGGACCCGCTGCAGACAGCATCTGTGCAGTGGTTTGAGCGCACCCTGGATGATAGTGCCAACCGGTCAGTGGGACAGGGACTCCTTCCGCAAGCTAAGAGGGAGACTCCAGGAAAGGCCTAGAAGCCAAGGATATAGTTCCTTGTCCCCAAGGAACCTGAAGTCTGACAGGCAAAATGCGAAAAGAACAGGGTTATCAGTGTGAGCATCAAAGTACATACAAGGTATTGTGAGAGTGGAGAGGAAGGGTCACAGTAGAAGCGATGCTGTAAGACTTAAGAAATACAGGCATGTTCTATACAGAAGATCGCAAACATAGGAAAGGCTGAGAAATACTTAGGGAGTTACTAATACTTGGGTAGCCCTGGGGAATGAAGTGAGTGCCAGATGAGGCAGAACATGACCACAGGTAGCCAGATTATAAAGGGGACTGACAGGCCCTGGCAGGAGTTTCCATACTTCGAAGACAGGTAGATGTCACCTGTGGTGTCTTGGCCCTGACACCTTGGTTAGTTATGAAGTGGGTAAGAAGTAATCTGTGGCTTCTTGTAAGGTCTCTGCTTGACATGGTTTTCTATATTATGTATACAGATAGTCTTTGAATGGGAGACAGAGTTTCTAGGTGCCAATCCCTAACTTTTGATTCCCCTAAAACTTAGTTACTGGGCCAGCTAGCTAGCATGGAAGTTAAGGCAGCTGTTCCCACTTGGCCAACTACATGGTATACCTGGTGGCTTGAAAAACATTCCAGGTATGTGTGCATGCATGCCCGAGATCCCAAAGGGAGAATGAAGGAGAAGGGAATGTGGAGTAGCTATCGCCCCGAAGGGGTGATTTCTCACTTTTCATCTCTTTCTCTCTGTCTGCGGTGAGCACATGCACCCTATAGCAAAAAGTAAACAAAACAAAATGTGCACGAGTGTGTGTGTGTCTGCGTGTGTGTGTGTGTGTAGTAATCTCATACTCTTTTTAGATTTTTACTACAGGCTGAGCGCACTCATCAGAGAGAGAAGGAGGGAGGAAAAGTGAGAAATCACTCTCCGGGTGAATGGCCATACTGCAATCCCTTCTCCATTCACCTCTCTCCTCTTGGGAGTTTGGGCACAGATGCATAGGCACCCAGCATGATTTTTAAGCCTCCGGGTCTGGGACTTTAACTGCAGAGTCAGCTATGTGGGATCTAGCCACCCAACCTTCATTCCCCTTGCTAGCCCTGTATACTGTATTCTTAGCAGCTAGAGAAAAGAAAATGTTACTAAGAAAGTCACAAGAAAGAAGTGTCAGTGTTGCATCAATACTTGAAATTTGCATCATCTAGTTGTAAGGTGAATCATCTGTTAATATCTACATCAGTATTACCTGATACAAAACACTGTAGCGGTTATGTATTACTAACACTAGACATCAGAAGTGAGAAGATAACATGAAAAGGAAATTCGTATTCATATATAGGTGTAGGGATTTATGCATTGGTCATGAAGAAGCAGCAGTGCAGTTGCTGTGTGGTAGCCCAGTGCAGTCCACATAATTGTATCACAGCAGTGCATCCTGTACACTAATGACCGAATCATTGTAACATGTTAGGGTGTATGTCAATAGTGTTACAGCCGTATGCATAATATAGTACTGGAAACATTGCTGCATTTTTGAAAAAACATCTGATTCTAGGCTGATAGTTTTTCCACTTACAAGAGGCATCTGTGGTAAAGTAATTCCATGAAAGCCAAGTTATAAAACAGTAGGAAAACTAACACAGTATTACAATCTGCTGCTCAAATGGCACATTAAGCGCATGTTCCCAACACTTGAGCTCACCGCACTAGCAGCAGGAGGTGGCTGCAAAGCAGGATGTGCTGCAGTTCATTGTAGCAGTTACAGCCTAAGACTGCATCTTTATATCTGTTTACATTTCTCTCCACTAAGAAATTCTTTCAAATTGTCACAAATCCCCCCAAAATTTCCAATATATTTATTGAGAAAAAAAATCTACATAAAAGAGCATCTGGACCTAGGGCTGGCAAGTGGCATGGTGGTAAAGGGTGCTGGACTCCCACATGGTCCACCCTGGTTCAGGTCCTGGATCCTGAAGCTTTCTCTCTCTCACGCTGTCCCTTTCTGATCAAATTAAAATAAGAAAATAAATAAAGTTAAGTAACATAATTCTTAAAAAAAAAAAAAAAAAGATCTGGACCAGCAGGTGGTATAATGATTACATAGCTGGACTCCCACATGGTTGACTGCAGTTCAAATCCCAGACCTCAGGAGCCTCAAACTCATGCGCAGGTGCCTGTGTGTGCTCAAAATCCCACTGGAGGAGAAGGGATTGTGGTGTAGCCATCCCCCAGGGGGTGATTTCTCACATTCTGTCTCTCTGGTGAGTGCATGTGCCCTCCTACAGCAACAATCTCTTTTAAAAATAAAAAAAGTGGATCTGTGTAAGAGCCACAGGTGGCATAGTGGTGAAGGCACTGAACTTTCACATGGGCAACCATGGTTCAAGTCTTGGACCTGGTGGCTTATTTTCACACTTTCCTTCTCTCTCTCCCCCTTTCTCATGAACACACATGCCCTATAGCAAATTTAAAAGCAGTAATAATAGAGACCAGCAGATGGCATAATGGTTACGTCACTAGACTCCCACGTAATCAGCTGTGGTTTATGCTCCACATGCAGTGGCTTATAACTCACACTGAGCACATGTGCATGCATGTGTGCCTAAGATCCTGAGAGGAATGGAGGAGAAGGGATTGTGGTGTGGCCATACCCCTGGGGGCTGATTTCTTGCTTTCTGTCTATCTCTCTGGTGAGTGCACGTGCCCTATAGCAAAAATCTCTCTTAAAAAATAATTATAATAAATAAAGTTTAAAAAATAATTCTTGGGTCCCCCAGGGCAACCCAAATAAACTTGGACCAGCCAGTAAAAATAAAATTTTTTTTTAAAAAGAGTGTCTTTGCAATTCAGGTCATAGTTTCTCCAGGATCAAGTGTATATGCATTTTAAATAGGTTCTCATTCTGGTGTCCTTGCATTTTACTAAGATGTCTATTTTTTCCCACTTTTTAGTGTTTGTTATAGGGCATGTGCACTTGCCAGAGAGGAACGTAGAGAGAGGGAAAGCAAGCCATTCCCATGAGGGATGTGTACTGCAGTCCCTACCTCTCCAGTCTCCTTGGGATTTTGAGCATATATGCACACACTCACTCAGTGTGTCTCTCAAGCCACCCAGCCTGGGACAATCCATTCAGATGGCTATGTGTGATCCAGTCCCTTAACTTCCATGCCACCTGCTGGCCCTGGGCTAGGATTTGTCAAGTGGAAAAAGAATGTATAATTAAAACTGGGATCTGTACATAACCCAAGATTCATGGAAAAGTTATGCGAACCCCCTTAGAAGTCAGCCACATTAAGCAGTGTCTGAACCAGTCATACCTGCCTCCCCAAATACTGTGGCACCAATATGGATAATCAGATGTAAGGGAGCATGGGTCTGGTTCGAACAAGCTAGAAGGCTGCTTTACAAGTCCAAGTCCACATGGGCACAGTGGCTGGGTAGATGGAGAGGAAAGAGAGCAGACAGCAGGCTGGCCAACCTCAGTGATCTGCTGGGTGCCAGTGCCACTTAGTACAGCAGG